TTGCCGACAAATAAACTATTATTGTTTTAATAACTTTTTAAAGATGGTGGAAAAAACCACTGTGAATATATAAAGTTTAAAAGAAAAATACCACGCGGAAGTTTTACATTTCATTTCGTAAAATATTTAAAGGAGTTAATTTTTTACAAATGAATTGATTTACTTATGCTCTGAAATGTGAATTAAATAGTATTAGAATGTAATAATAAGGATATAAATAGTGAACTAAGTTTTTTTAGGTTACTGATAATGGTCAGATTTCTTTAATATGAAAAAGAGGCCCATTTGTTTTTAAACCCATTGAAATACATTAATTTATTACTTTTAATTTAATTATTTTTTCTGGAAAACTGCTTGTGAACGGTTTCATGTTTCATAGTCGGGGAAATCAGTCTGTCCTTCCTACAGGATAACGTCTTCTTCGGTATGCTGCTCCAACAGGATAAATAACTGCGTACAGTGAGCTAATTTAGCATACATCGGTGCTGCATTCTCTGTTGGATATTTCTAGCCATCTCTGTCAGTAGTATTTGTACCATAGCATGAGAATTACGAGCCGTTTGAATTATTCACACAATACGTTTATTAATTTACAATACTAGTTGCTCCAGTCGAATAGATTAGAGTTCTCTATAATTCAACTAAAATAACAATTACTGCCGTTAAATAAACACGTTATTTGCCAACCATGCACCTTAACACACAATGATCTCTCACATAATAAACACATTATGTCTAATATATAGAATATGGCTGAAAATATTAAGAACGCACGCGCAACTTCTTAGGCCTGTTCTGGGGGTAGCGTATAGCTGCAAATGTCGTAAATTATCCTTGAATGTTTTCGCATATTTTGCCTGTTCCGTTTAGTCTGGACGATTTAAGTAAACGATTTAGCCAAAGTTTGTTTCTCAAAATTGAACAGATTGATTACCATGAATTTTAAGAACTCATTGCCTAAGATGCTACTATTCCTATCTCTGCGAAGCGACTACGCTCTGTCATTGATCGCGAGTCCCGTCACCTTTTCTGCACTTAAAAGAAGATGCGAAGTCCCTGCTTGATAAAAATTTTAGTTTTTCAGAGCCTATAACTATGGGCTGAACAATGTAGCTTTCAAGAGCCAAATCGTTTCGAAAAGCAGGAATTAAGTGTTAGCCATCGATTCCAAACTTCTGTTTCATAAAATTATGATTAGATCCATTTTCAGGTATGCTGCTTTTGATTGAACTATAGCAAAGTCTACCTACAGGAAACGTCTTCCCAAGACAAGTGACTTCACATTATTGCAAATGTGCCATGGTTCGTGAGATCAAGTTTCCTGTGCAGAGACCTGACAGTGGAAGCTATTCCTTTACATCTCCTGTCTAACACACAAAATGATCTATGACAACATCAAGAGATCTGACTTTAAAGGAGTTCGGGAAATACTCAAGTATGATGCATTTGCCGATCAATCAATTAAACGTCCCAAAACTTTTAACAATTACTGTCGTTAGTTAAACGCCTAAAGACTATTTTCCATGATACTTCATGCTAATGATATTTCACCACCGTTCCACAGCGATTAGTTTCCTGCTCTGAAAATCACTTCAGTTTCTGCAGATTAAATTCTGCCAAAATGTATTTTACCACACACCTAATTATTGCTGCATTATGATATTATGACCATGCGACCAGGTGATCTTTTAGTTTCAATCGCTTTATTCTCTGATTTTATCTTTAGTGTTGTATTTTACGATACACCTTAAAATATTAAGAAAATCAAAAAATATTAAAAAGCCAAAAAGTAATAACAACAATTTTATTTAAAAATTTTTTCTTCTTAAATGTTCTCAAATCATGTTGACTTCCTCTAACTTTTCCTAAATTTCTGCTAAAGTATGCTTTATTATTTCTGTTCTCTTTTTTTAATATTGATGACGTGAAGGTATAAGTACTGTACTCCGACTCGATTTAGCAAATAATTTGTATTATATTGCATATTAAGACTGAATGGCAGCAGGACGGAAAAACAGGCTTTGGGGGGGGGAGGGTTTGGTTTAAAGGCGCAAAATTTTGTCCACTTCTTCATTTTGAATTGGCTTGAAGTCGGTTTCTTGGTTAATTTAAAGTTTCAAAACGTAGCTTTACGATGCAGGAAATTTGTGGCTAAGTTTTTCTGGACTTTTCCGAATATTCTTGTATCAGGAAATAATTGAGCATGAGATACTGTAGATGGTGGGGTCGGAAATGTCAGATAATAGCGGTCTGACGTCACAGCTGATAATTAAAAGGCGTTAAATCACTATTCCAGCAACTGCTTCACGTCTCCAGAAATCAGATGAAAAAATTGCATCTGAGAATGACAGAGGCATATTAGAATGACAGATTACTAAGAAACCCATGAAGTTGTTTCAATAGAAATAATTTCAATAATCATACTAGATAATAAGATGTGCAGTAGTGCAAAACAAAAAGAAGTTCCGTGAACACTATCATGAATGCGTTTGGATATGATTGAAGGATAAGACTGAAGATTGGGATATACGTTTATTATAGATATGATTGAAGATTTAATATTGGATATATTTGTTTTATTTCGATGCTTTCCTGTATACAGGCATTTTCCTGCTTTCTTTGAACAACACTTTCCTATTATTTTAGAAAATAATCACATAAAAGGGCCTAAAATTCATGAATATTTGGTTTATCGATGACGCTTATTTCTATTTATAAACAAATTTGGTGAATTTAGGAAACAGAAAAATCTCCGTGTTGTCTTTTCATTCACTTCATACCAAAAAGGGGATGGAAACGTTTTGGGCAGCATTTTTCTACAGTAAAATCATAAGATTCAGTTACTTTATAGGATTCCTCACATTGTAAATGCTGCGTTAGAGTTGAACGTAAGAATCTTAAGAACTGTTAAGCGAATAATCGCTTGAGTTCGTGTGACAAGAAACAACAAGATGGAAGGGTAAATAACCCTTTATTATTCAAATAAGATTTAACAGAACTCCGTCTTGGAGTGTACAATAATGGCCGACACTTGGGCTTGAACTTAAAGCCTAAGAAGTAAACTAAAGCCAATCTTAATTAAAGAGTTATAGCCGAAGCTATCAAGATTCTAACCGAGTTGGCCCCTTAACGCTAATTGACGGCGAAGCTATCAACGGCCTGAGTACGGCCGAACGTAATAACAGCTTTGAGAGAGAGGTGCCAAAAAGGTGGACGCGCGCTAATTAGAATCTCTGATTCTCTTTAACTCAGTAAGTAGAACTACGCGGTTAAATACCACTCTTCCTCATTATGTATTCAGACGTGAATCTAAAACTACGTTCTGGTAGTAAGTTGAAGTTAAGAGTTTGACAGGAAAGAAGTTTAACTCAAAATTTAACTGTTCTCCAGCAATGAAATCAAAAGACTTGTCCGTTCAGTCACGTTTTGCCTAAAAACTGAAACCGTTTGGGTAGCTTTTTCCAGCGATATAGGAAGTAGTATATAGCGAGTCATAGGACCTGTTTGTTCAGCCTTCCATTGCAAAATGAACAATTTGGGCAGCATTTTCCAGAGATGGAAACATAAGATGTTTTTTTTACAAAATTTTCAGCGACGTATATCAATTTGGAATAACTATAAGATATTTAATAATCTACTCAAGAATTATTTTATATTTATATTTAAAAAGTTATCGCTTTACATTTATCTCATATTTTATATCAACGTAAATGTTATGCTTAAAATGTATGGCCTCCCAAATTAAATACATGGTGCAATAAAACTGTGTAATACACAAAAAACTACATGTTTCGTTCTTTAGTTAGAATATAACTTTTAAAACCAGCTACAAACGCTTTGAGCAGACAGTGCGTAGTACAGACTTGGGCTTAAAATAGCTAATTCAATGTTGAAGATATAACATAAAGAGTAATATTGGAATCTCGCACATGTGTAGGTATAAATGTGTAAACATTGTAAAGAACTTCAAAGCTAAAAGTACTGGGTGATTCTTATGAAATAAAATTTTATATCCAGCAGCTGCCTTTAAAAAATAACGAGTTGCTATTACATAAAAGAATTACATAAAAGCATTTCATTTTGGAAGCACTGCATAAAATGAACGTGTGACATCATTATTCTATGTGCATTATGATTTTGACATTGCTTAAAAGTTATTTGTTGATAAGAATTAAGAAAGAAGCAGTGAAATTGCACTGATCTCTTTTCGGCATACCAACTGAAATATTAGTGGAGCTGTTTTATGGTCGTAGATTCTGTGTGATTCATGGTTCTGTGTTTAAAGAAAACATACATTCTGTTTGGACATCCTAAGAAGGGTCATCAATGATCAGTGAATTAGAGGTTTTTGAATGAATTCAAAGAAATATCACTCTAAGCTAAAACTTGGACATCCTCCACCCACTGAAAAACTTTCGACAACTTCCTTGGGACGCATCAAGATGGAAACAAATTTGTTGCAGAATATTTGGAAATAAATAAAGGCTCATTTCCAAATTTGAAGAACGATTAAAATGAATCCAAACTTGAGGAACTATAAAAAAAATAAGGAACGTCATATCTAGGTCAGTACGAATCTTCTGGGTAAAAACTCTTGCAGAAAATGAAAATAATAATATTAGTATTACTTTTCTGAAGGGAGACTTTTTTCTGATATTTTCAAGAAAGCTTGAATCTAATTCTTTAAATGACTGAAATAGAAGCACAAAGTTAAATGAAGCTTTATTGGGTATTATTCAAAGTTTTTGTTATAATGTAAGCTATAAATCCAAGTTGACAAAACAAATTACTTCCATTATATTATTTTATATTGCAAATGACCAGTATTATATGGGATAATTTTCTTTTTTTTAAACGATATATAATTTTCCTACCGTTAATTTTGATTTTATATATTTATTATCACTTAGTAACGTTATTATAATTCCTAACAAACATACCTTATTCATATGTTTTAAAATAAATTAGTATATTTATTGAGATACTGTTTCTTTATGCAGGAACGAAAACGTTTAAGAGTCAGATATCCTGAATTTGACATAAGAAGGGATGAAGACGAATGTGCTAAAATGATCAGTATTTACCACAGCAGCAGTCTTCCGCTGCTGAGTAGCGCATCTTCTAGCACCTTAGCTCCTAAGCCTTCAACCTCGAGATCGTCTACATCATCGGCCGCTTCCTCCCCAGCATCTTCTCCAGTTCATCGACAGAAAAAGAAGAGGAGCATCTCGAGTAGTCCCAGAAGAAATTGACTTCCATTAATATAATAGCGAAAGGTCCAGGCGTTTGATTCTTTTCACAGATTAATTAATACAGAGTAATTTTTCTTTATATACATTATTATGATTAAGTACAGGAAAGGCCACCGAAATTTCAATAATGGTTGCATATATTTTTCAAATAACATATTTAGAAAAATTTAGTTTTATATTCTCTCCGAACGCATGAGGTGTTGCAAAGCTAATTTAATAATAACTGAAGCATTAAAATTAAATGGAAGATTCAAATTCCATTACCCCGAAAAAAAAAAAAACAGGAAGAGTCTTAATATATCTATTCCCAATGACATTTTCTTAAAAAGTATGGAATTCTATGGATGCCGTGTTTATTAACGTGTTACGTGTAACTAAAACTTAGCCAGTTGCATCTGATTTTAGAAAAACCACAGTAGAAAAGTATTTCTGTAACCTGAATTATTTTATACGAAAGAGATTTGAAAGTGTTATTCGAATAATTTCCATCCAAAAAAAAAAAAAGGCATTCGCTGTACAAAAGAAAGCAATTTAATGTCATATTAAAGAAACTTTAATGGTATACTTGAGAGCTAGATGATATTCTATAATCCATAATCTTCAGATCAAGTTTGGATTTTGAAAAAAATATTAAGAATATCTTTTCATCATGGTCGCCCTGTTAATGATTTGTTACGTTTCTGCAGTTTACCCTCCTTCAATTTATTACAATTCATATTAAGACTTTTCTCAAATTAAAATGTCTGCAAAATAGGAAATGAGAAAAGAAAACAAATTTTGAAAATAATGTTCCTCTCGTTAAAAAAGTAAGTACGTAAATAAATCGATATATTTATGGTAAATTAATAGGACTGTAGATAAGTTTAGCAAAGAGCAATAAAATAAAGATTTACTTAACAGATCGGTTACTGAATCACAAATTTCAGCTTATATACTCAAATATTTTAATTTGATGTTATCTGAGATGTTTAAGCCATTAACTCAATTTATAAATATGATCTTAATGCGTTTTTATCTTTTATCTACCATTTCACAAAAATTTACAGTTTTATTTATAACGGACATTTCGTTCATTACTTATTTTCGCAATAGGTCTTGAGTCTGAATTTCGCTAAGAACGCAGAATTTAGTTTTCTATTAAGAACATACTGAAAACTATTATGATTATCAAGAACTATCCATTGAATATTTAATGCAAATACTTAAATTTATATATTAAAAATTATTTTATTCTATTAAGAATGCTCAGAATACATTAAAAATAAAGTCAACATTTCTATTTAGAAAAGATTTTATGAAAAAGAATGTTTAAAATAATTCAGAAAGTAAAAAGTATGCTTAATTGCTGTATTCTTGTGGGATTATAGTTTCCTATGCTTTAAAAAAGACCTACCTACAAAATATTACAAATTCGGAAGAAATGCCTATCTTAACCAGCTGAAAGAAAGCTAAAGAAAAGTTCCACTCCTGCCTGTAAAAAATTTAAAACCTGAAATAGCTTTCAGTGTTTGTTTCTTATTAGGATTATAAAATGTATGACTGTAATTTTGAAAAATATTGAGGCAGGTTCGCATAATTAGATTTAGTTTACTTTGTAAGAGCTCATGAGTACTGAATGATAGGTTAAGCAAGCAAGCATATTTTCGAATTTCAAGCCTTTCAAGATCAGTCTCAACAGACAACAAACCTTGACCTTGAGCTACACACAGACAATGAAGAATTGCAAAAGTTAGGGACCTATCTACCCTAATGAATTTAAAGGGCAATCAAATGTTTATTGATGATTTTCATCACCACTTCTCTTTATCTCAATCACTTCTATCTCTTATCACCGCTACTTCCGATTTTCAGCCGAACATATCATTCATCAATCCATCAATTTTTCTTTCTTCGTGATTTTGGAAGATAAAGTTGCAGTTATTATTATCTACACTATTTAGAGTTTTAAGCTATGTATTTACGGTATAGATCTTGCTTTTTGTAGGGCTAATTTAGATTTTTTTTGTTTTATTGAACATGATTTTGTCAGATTATTTATTAGCCTTGAATTGTTGCATTGGAATGTTTCGCTTTCGGAAACGAAGGAAACCTGAATGTCCGCAGGTCCGATTTTTAAGTTATTTTAGCAATGCGTGTCGATTTAAACACACATAAACACCAAAAACGGAGAGCGCACAAGAAAATACTTGCATGTAGGTTGCTGCCTACATTCGTCAATAACTAAATAATAAGCAATAAAGCTATTTTCCATCTTTGAACATTGACTATCAAATTAATTTAAATAATCATAAACAGTTATTTGCCGTCAATAATATAGTTAGAATGAATCGTATCTGAAAATGTCAAATATTAGACTCTTAAAGTTAGAGACGATTAATTATAGTCACTTCGAAATTAAAGAAAAGTGAAGTGACATCATAGTATATTATAAATTGTGATATTTGCTGTAAAATAGCGAAAGTAATTGAAATGACTGTCTGAAATAACTCTCTATCTGAAAAATGTTGCTATATAGCGCCAGCAAACTATTATTAGAAGATAACAAACATAAAGTTTTTCAAATACCTATATAATTCAATTCAGGAATTAATTAGCAACATATTGTAAAGTGATCCATAACTGTGCCTCACTACAAAAATATTGCGAATTTCTTGCAAATATCATATTCTTTTTCCGCAGGCTTTGCGATGAGCTTAAAAATTATCAATTTTCGATCGTATTTATTTTATTCCTTCGTATTTTGCATTGCTGCAATTCATCATTTCTAAGACTCGGAAAAAGAATTTTAACTGAATTTGCTCATATCACTGCAAACACGTTCAGAATGCTTTTTGCATTTCAGTATCGCGATGAACAGTTTTTATATCTGTTTTTATGAAATTTGGTGTCTATCATTCAACGAGCTTACAGTTATATGAAAATAATTTAGTAGTTCAAAACGACTTGCTTTATGTGCTATTTACTGTAAGATATATTATGTTTATTTGCGTCATAATTTAACATAGAACGAGAAAGACTTTAAGGTTCTTTATATATTTAGTTATTCTTTCTGATATCATGTGAATTACGCTGCATCTAGAAACAATGCCAAAAATTTGCAGAATTATATTTTAAATAGATAGGGATACAAAACAAGCATCATTCACGCAAAATGCATTGAATACAGCTTCCAGAAATTTGGATAGAAAAATATTCGCAAAAACTATGTATCAAATGATCGAATTACAGCTTTCTGTTTAAAGTTTTAATGAGCGAAAATATTTAGCCGCAAACATTATGAATGATGAGTAATAGTTCGAGCATTAGTGGAATCAACTAATATTTTGCATTAGCGAAATATTGCATTAGATTTTTTTCCTTGCTGATTTATGGTAAGGGATGTTTTCTGCGACTGTAACTGAAGTTAATATTCTTCTCATTAGCAAACTGAATAGAAGTTTTATCTAAGATTTTAGATCAGAATAAATTTTTAAATATTGCTTTTGCATTTTTGATCTAAACGCATAAGTTTTTGTTCGAGGTCATAATTAAAGGTTAAATGATAAGCAGAGAGTAAAGCACAAGAAGAAGCTTGCATTAATTAGTAATTTCATTCGTAAAAATTTTTTCATCTCCATTTTACAAACTTACAACGTAATTAAAGAAGATAAAGTTCTCTAAAGCTTTAAATTTGATTTTCCCATAATGAGCTTACTGAAATTGAATATTACCAACCGCAATGACTGAATGTTTATATGATTGAGGATATCACCTTAATTCAGTTATTTAATTAATAATTTAAGCATTTTAAACATTACGGTTTTAATGCATTCAATGCATTTATCTTTATTTTTTGTGGTGCGCTTATTTACCTGTAATCTCCATAGCAGGCAAGATTTTGTACGCATCGAAGAAAACTGTTTTTTTCTTTTTTAAAATTTTATTTTAACTTATGAATTAAAGATTTTTTTAAATTGTATTAGCTCTTGAGTGCCTTATATAGATGGAAATCTCTGTTATGAATCCATTGAAATATAGAGTAAGAATGAACAAAACTGAGACTGGAATTGAGTTAGAGCAAAGCAGATTCATTGGTTGAATTATTCACGGACCTCAGTAAAAATGGACTAAATAATAATGAAGTGCCATTTAAATACAGCTTTTTTTTTAAAGGACCTGTTGCAAAGGTTTTGCACTGTTTCAGCTGTTTAATGAAATTTCATTAAACAGCTGAAACAGTGCAAAACCTTTGCAACAGGTCAAACAGCTGAAGTCATATCAACTTTTTGATAAGACTTGATAAGACTTAAATATATTTGTAAATATACATATTGAATTGCATGGGAAGCATCAAATGAGCTTCGTCTAATGCTATGATTACATATCATTTCTATCAGTATGTAAAAAATGTCTGCTTATTATAACCATTTGGTTTACTCAAGAGAATGTTTTAGCCAAATTGAATTATTAATTTTACAGATTAAGAACTTTAGGAATATTGACACTTTATTGCTTGAAACTTAATCTTAGGAAATTACATTAATTATAATCTTCCTTCAGCATCATATATCAGAGTACTTTTTACAGCTAGTTCTGCGTAGTATGCATATTAAGTAGCTAAATAGACTATTTCTTATTTCTGCTTCTATGAGAAAAATACTTGAAAATATTTTATCATTAAATATAAAAATGCTAATCTAGGGATCAAGTTATAAAACTCATCTGAGCTTTTACGAAACATGAAGCTACTAAATATATACCCCCTTATAGGAATTAAAATTATTATAAAATTGACCTTTTCTTTCAGTTTTATAAAATTTATATGAATTCTAATAAAAGGTGTTTAGGTACACTTCTATTATTGGGACCGGATTCAGAAATGCCTGTATGTATGCATGCATGTGCATATATGTGTGTATATACATACATACATACATAAGTACATATATACATGCATACATGAACACATCCATCCATCCATACATGCGTACATAAATACATTTCTAAATCGGTTCCGATAAGAGAAGAGTACAGGTGTTTATTACATATATATAGTATGTGTGTGTGTGTGTATCAGAGAATATTAGAGGATACTTTATATTAATAATTGAACCTCATTATTAGAGAAAATAGAGAATATGACAGCTTTAATAGAAAGAAAATTTCAGGTTTAGGCTACCATCAAATTAATTTTATATGTTTTGAGAAAAGGGAAAGTATGTCTTCTTTTTTTGATAGAGAAATATATAATGCCGTTTTTCAAAGCCTGATAGAAAGATGCATAATAGTTTTCCATTTTAAAGAAAGAATTTTCGCCTTTATTCTTATAAAATTAATGTTCTAAACTTTGATTTCTTTTGGGAAAAACTTGAATTTCTTCTGCATTTAAAATTTTTACTAATTTAGAAATTGGTTTGCGAGGTCATTTAACAATGCTGGCAATGAGAAGCAAATCATAATGCAAGTAATCCGTAAATTAAATTCTACAATAATGGATTCAACCAACTATGGTTGAATTTAAAATCCTAACAAAATGCTAGAACTTAGTTAAAATGTTTGGAAGCCTTCTTCAAAGTCCGAGATTTCATTATTAAAAAATCATTTAAAGCTTTAGACACAAAAATGGGTAAAAGGAGAAAATATGTCATCGAGGTCATTGAACTCCTAATGTGCGAGCTTCATAAATGATAATTGAAACAATTTGATCTGTAAATATAGTTTACATATACAAATTCGGCCCTGTATGCATATGTAAAGTATGTAAAATAAGAACAAGTTTTGCTCAGTAAACATTTTAAAATCTATCTTTAAGTAACATTGCCCAACTTAGGCAAAGTTAATTACTTAAATCTAAGGTTTTCGTAATTTTATAGTTCATCATCAGGTAAAGCAATGTAATCATAGTAGTTGCTTCCTGTGCAGGCACAGGATAAGTAACTGAATGCAGCTTCTATGTATTTTCACATTTTTGCACCAAAGGCTATGATGTAAAAGTATATTTACAATGTTATCAGTTATTCAAGTATTTAGATGCATCACAGCAACTGTAAACAGGTTGGTGGACCAACCCGATAGCAATAACTGTGATAAAGTTTTCATTATTCTGTATAAAGTTTTATCTTGCATGTAAAACTATATTGTATCTCCCATATGAGGATTAGACTGCCTTGAAAACATAGCAAGTATATTAATTCAAATAAAAGTATTTTATAAATACTTTGTTGATTTCCTTATTACTTAGCACAAACAATTACAGCTTCACATTTCACACGTTTAAAACAAAGATAGAACTAATACGGATTTCCTAGTCATTCATTTTGCAAAATTTATGTTAGTTACAATATATTGCATTGCATTTAATTATAATGAAAATACATTATGTTTAAGTGTTTGTTTCTTTATAAATAAATCCTTTATGCATTAATTGCAGAAACATATTTTTATTTATTTTTTTACTTACTTTCGCCATTTAACTTTTGAAATCTTCAGATCTCCTATTTTCAGTGTTCGCTTCCAAACAATCCTGATAGGTTGATATTCGTATTTCCTCTTTATGATAAAAATTGCCGATATTTCACAGTATAAATTTATACATTTTTACGTCTCTGGAGTTAGGAATTAACCACTTCTAAAGTGTAATAAACAATTCGTTAAAATTATTTGAAGTTATTTTAAATATTCATTATTATTTTACATTAATATAAGTTTACAGTAGTCATTTTAATAAACATCAAATAGCATCGAGTCAATTACATTGCTACCGGTTGTTTAAGTAAATTTGCATAAAAACACAAAATGGAAGATGGCGAGGATAAAAGTATTTATAATATTATAATATTTCTATGATAATACATAATTAAGGATGAACATTGGAAGAAGTTCAATATTTCATGTTTTAATAAATATTTTGTCACTAATTATATACCTGAAATTTTTGTTATGATCTATTTGTACATTAATTAATTTGACATTCATTTACTTATAACATTATATTACATGCAAATGAGTAATAATGTATTTATCTAAACTCTGTAAATATCCGAATACTTAATTATGAGCGCAACTCATCATAAAGGGTGGTAATGTTATGTTTATTAATAAACGCGCGTCGAGTATGTTTCCAATTACACCACAAAGGTACGCAGAAAGAGAGAAAATATCTTATATTTTTCCCCTTTTAAAGGACAACTGGGGATTAGGGGACCCAATCGCCGAAACATGATGGTGACAAATTATCGTCCACCACCTTATATTTCAGGTGCCACTGTAGAGTCATTAGGTTTTACTGATGCTGGAGACCTAAAAAATGTGCAGGGTTCTCACTGGGACTCGAACCTGTACCTGTCGAATACGCGCAGAGTATGCTTCCAGTTACACCACGAAGGTATGCAGAAAGAAGGGAGAAAATACTTTGTAAATTTAAGTTGTCAAAGGAATATTTACTCTTTGCATTAAAGTATTAAGAGATTTTATATTAATGTCTGATTTTAAGCGCAAATCAGAAGCTGATTCTCCTCTTTTACATTTAGTAAAAGATAATTAAATAGCCGAAGGTGCAGTAAAAATATCGCTGATTGCTTCCTAAACCTTTTAAAATCCCAAAGTGGTTATAAAAAATTTCGAATTTTATATGAAAGACCTTATTAAATAACTCATCCTTGCTTTAATATCGGGGAAACAATTTTACAGGAAATTGTATTACATTAAAATTTCTAATAAGCCGTAAGAATATTAAATAATTTACTTTGTACAAATATACATTATAAAGGAACCTTAAAAAAGAATAAAATTTAACGTTAAAGAGATATCTACTGTTGATATTTTAATAATTTCTATAAAGAAAATATTTTAAAACAACTACTACTTTGCAAATTTGTTTAAGGTAATTAGTTTATTTTTATTAAAGTTTTTTTTTTTTTTTGCTATACTTATTGTAACTTAGTAGAAAGGTTTTTCACTTAAGCAAAGTTAGATTCTATGCTTTTAAACCAAAGTAATACTTCCGAGGGAAAACAATAGCGTTGCGAAGCACAGAATAGTTAATAAATGTCACATTTATCATAATAAAAATAATTAAGTTACATTTCGATCACATAATCTGTATATACGTTCCTCGGAAACAACAATATACGTCATCTATTCCCAACGAAGAATATGAAGACTATAAAATAATCATAAATTAATTTTTGAATTAAAAAGCCCAATTTCGTCCAATCCTGACTTTACAATTGACCTAAACTGAAAAACATTATGTTGAACACAATATTGTTTAAATAAACAATTTAAAAAATGAAATGAAATTTAAAAAAAATCGATTCGCAATGCACAGCCAATAGAGTTTTAGTTGATTTTCCTGTATATTTTGAATTTCCTCTTACTAATATATCTCCTTATTCAAATGATAAAAGCTCGAAATTCTTCTTGTAATAATCAGTTTTCATTTTTCCTCATTGTTTTTTTTTTTTTCTTTTCTTTTCTTTTTTTTTTTTTTTTTTTTTTTTTTTTTTTTGAGAACATACAGACTCCCCGTGCACCACATATGTACAACACGGGACTTACAGAAGTAAGTTAACTAGAATATTAAAGGTTACATGTATAAATAAACATTAAAAATTACATGCATAAAAAAAACGAACAAAAGCAGAGAACAGCAGTCTGGACTTCACGAAAACAGATAAGTTCACTGGCCAAGTCACTCCGAACATTTTCAAATCGTTCTGTAAGCATAATCTAGAGCCATCAAATGTAGGGCACGAGAAAATCAAATGTTCCACATCCTGAGGAACTCTTTTTGAACATTCACATAAATTGTTTGATCGTAGATTAAAACGAAATAGATAACTTGCAAATTTACCGTGACCAGATAAAAACTGAGACACTTTAAAATTTAACGAGAGGAAAGACTCGGAATTCAGTATATGGTAAATAGAAGGAAGGAACTTTTTGGTGACTTCAGCATTACAAGATGAAATGTATTCCTCATTCCACATAGCTAAAAGCTTTTTATAATGAAAGGACTTCCAATAACTCTTTGGAATGCTAATGTTGATATCAATGGGTAAATTTTAGGCATCTTTAGCTAAGAAATCAGCTTTCATTTCCGTAGAAAACATGATGAGCACGCACATAAGCAAAGCAGATATCAATACCTCTAATTCTAAGTGAACTAACAGTTACTAGGGTTTCGATAACTAATTTATCGCAGCTGGTAATACTGTTCAAAAGTTGAAGAGAAGAAAGAGAATCAGAACAAATAAGGTACTTTGAGGATGTTGTCCCATGATCCTGGATCCATTTGACGGCAAGATAAATGCACAGAAGTTCTGCTTGAAAAACTTTCCTCATTGTTTAGGAATTTTTTCCACTAGTTTCATGTTGTAGTTCTGCCGATTCCTTCCAACCTTCACCTTTTTCGCCATCTCAAAATTCCATCTTCAAATTGTGTTACACAGTCATCTTAAATTGTGTTTTTCCAATAATTTTACTGATCCAATAAACTTACGTGATATTCAAATTTCTGTCAGTTTTCTTAATTTAACTACCTTCTACTTCCATAGCTTTTCTTGCTTTTCTCTATTGTATAGTAGTGCTCAAATGTATGTTAACACAATCCCTATTGTACTCTTTACTCTCCAAAATCATTCTCTTCACGTCATTCACTTCGGATTATTCTTAATGTTCGCTCGCAATTTTTCTAAAAATCACAGTTCCTTGCTTTCCAAACTTAGACATTTTGAAATTTAAATTAATGAGTTTTTAATTAATAATTAATGAAATTTTAAATTAATACCTAAATATTAGCGTTTAAAATTCAAATATTTGTTAATGTAACCAATTAATTAATTAATACAATGTTAAAACAGACAATGGTACTGAATAGAATTATTCTTACGCTCAAATGTAGTCCTAATTCAAAAAATAGGTTTGTTCAAAATTTACCAATAATCAAATGTAATCGTCATACACATAAAATAATTTTCAGATACTTCTATAGACTTGAAAATTCTTAAAAGTGATTTACTCCGGTTTCAAACTTGGAATAGTGATGTCCGTTAATGTGCTCATTCACTGCAATTCCACTTCTGATGATTTGTTAACTTCCTTTTTTGAATGGAAGTAATACTTTAGAATATAATTACGGTAACAGAACAGGGAAAGAGAGAATATTTAATATATGTCGTATGTTTCGTAATAAACTTACATTAAGTTACAATATCAATCGTCCGATCGAATATGTTCTTCTAAAACAACAACATGTATCGTCTGTTGCCAAAGGAGAATATTAAAACTATCTAATAATTGGAAATAAATTGTAAAAAAAATACCTACAGTTGTGAATAGCGGATAAGAATCATATACTCAATAGTCTTCATAGTCGGAATGAGGGAAGAACACAGCCAGTCAGTGAAGTCCAAATTAAGTCAAATGACTTGAATCTCGAAGTAAATCGTATCTTAATATATGTGCCAGTTCAGTAACTAAATAAATAAGAACACTTATTAGCATGGGCAAGGAGAATATAAAACGTGCACACGTTGCATTGATAGTCGGCTAAGTGAAGTTCATTGTTATTCAAGTAAAGTCCTCGAATTGTTAAATGGAAATTATTTGAAACTGATACCTGACTTCAGCCTCTTAATGATTAAGAACATAAATCGAGATAAAGTAAAAAGTCTTAAGCTCAAAACTCAGTTTGATTCTAATATAATACAAGTAGCCCCATTTTTTGTTTATATGAATGTATATACTATGTTTTCCCGAAAATAAGACATAATCGGAAATTAAGCCCAGTCTGATTTTTCAATAGTATTGGGGACTGATGTGAAAACTTGATAATGAACGGACATGCTTGTGACTATTGAAAATCTTCATAATTTACACCCATGTCCATAAATTAAGGATAATGCAAAATCAGGCAAAGGAAGAGTAAGAAGCAAAACAAATTTGACTTATTTGTAAAGCTTATTTATTAAACAAAAGGTAAAGAGAAAAAAAAAATGCTATATGTTGATATTACTAAAAAAATTAGCTATTTTTTCTCCCTGGAGCAAATTACAAAAAAAAAACCTATTTACAAAAAATTAATATTACATGGTTGGTATGATTGTTAATACATTGTATGTCTCCCAGACGATGCAATACAGTCCGTACAACGCCTAGGCATGCTGAGTATCAAATTATCGATCTGAGCTTGGGGGATATTACACCACTCAAAA